CTTGAAGTTCCACTGTTTTTATATTCTATAAACCGTCTAATGTCTAGAAACCTACAGATGTTTGTAAATTTTGCTTTTCAGTTTCTGGGGAAATATGTAATATTTGAAGTTACTTTTTGTTGTTGTCTACATACGAATAGAAACAGATTTGTTTGAGGACAGCTGTAATAAACAAACAGATACACACAAACAACAAAATCAAATTAAACCAGCAAGTGAGCAGAATAGAAAAAAAAAACTGAAACTCAAGCAAAACACTACAGAAGATAAGAGTTGGTAGCCTTAACGTGAAATAAAATGAAGCCACATGAACCAACACTTCTGGAGAATTAGCAAATGATATGATGGATTTGAGAAATGCCATCCACCCACTCTGGACTACAGGTTGCTTGGTAACAAGTGTGGTCCCAATAAAACTGCAAGACGCTACTAAACAGGACTTCTGGAATTTTTACCCGTTTGATTCTCATTCCTGAGGTGCTATTCCTACAGACTGATCCTGAACGGAAAACTCCCAATTTTTTTTTAAAGTTATCTGGCAGTAAGGTTATCAATAGAAAGTGGCTGCAAACATTTACTCTGGTGCTCCATTAGCAGCTTTGAATATAATGTTAATAACAAAGATATCCAAAATGAAGAATTTCATTAAAAGCAAAATATCGAGAGATTAACATTAAGCTTAAGTAATGCCACTGTAAGATATGGCATGTCACACAATAACATTTAAAATGTGAGATAATTGTCTACAAATAGTATAGCTGTAACAATACAACAACAAGGATGAAGATTTAATAAGTAATAATATTCTAACAATGACTGAATAATTATGTTATAGGCTTAAAAAAACTCACAGGTAGGAAATTATTATAACTGTAATATTAAAAGTTTAGTAATATTTCCACATGGATGAAATTATTCCCAAAGAAATGAAATAATTTTAAATATTATTATTATTCTGATATTCCAAGGCAAATGAAATAATTATAATATTATTTCAATTATGGTGAAATCATTAGAATAATTGTTGTAATATTTCAACAGTGACGAAGAAATTTCCATATTATAATTTAATATTTCAAGAGGGATGAAATATTTTTATTATTATATTTCACAGATATTTAATAATTACAATATTAAAATCATGATTAATTCCAACAGTGATAAAATAATTACAATCTTAAAAATGTTATAATATTCCAAGAGAACGTTATGCTGATGACACCGTCTTGACAGCAACAAGTCAGAGAAGAACTACAGGGATTGATTGATAGGGTAACAGTGGAAAGGGACAGAATGGGTCTCAGCTTCAATAATGGGAAGACAGAAGTAATGGTAATATCAAAGAAAAGAGTAGTGCCTGAATGTAATAATAATAATAATCAAGGCATTATTTAAGGACAAGTACATAAATGTTAATATCTAGGCACATAGATAACAGAAGGTGTATTAGAGAGATAAAGGACAGAATATGACGGGCTAAAGCTGCATTTAATCAAATAAATAACATTTTATGCAATACATTTATGTAACTAAAGGTTCGAAAAAGAATTCTCGCTAACAGAACCTGTTTTAACATATGGCGGTGAATCCTAGACAATTAATAAACACGCCAAACAATTTCTTGAGGTCTCGTAAATGTGTTTTACATAAAGGTCCTTAGAAGTCGTGGGACAGCTTAAAGGAGCACCCCAGATATTTTGAAAGAAGCGAGGGCGTGAAGACAATTTATCACAAACATCAGAAAGAGAAAATCATCACTTTTGGTAATATTATAAGAAAAGGGGAACTGAAACTTGTGACCACTGGAAAGATCTGTGGAAAGAGAGACAGGAGACGACAATGCAAAACCGAGATTAGGGCACTAAAAGATCAGCATTCACGCTCAGAAAACATCATCATCTATACAGATGGTCCCGTGAAAAGCATGGATAGAGCAGATATCATCAGCGCTGTGCGGAGTAGGTTAGTGGATTATGACAAATCTCTGACATGGGAGTAAAACATGGTAAAGCCTGTCTGTGTTGCTTTCAAGGCCGAGATATGAGACAATATAACCAGCTCAGTTGAGGTACCTTAGAGTGGCTGCTCATCAGAAAATTGAGCACACATGGGAATGCCCAATGTGCAGCGTCATCACTTGTGATAACATAAGAACACTCTTGAAGCCTTTTGTCATGACATGCAGACGTGAGAGAACATGCATGCTATTGAAGATCCTAAACTGTGTAGAGGCACTTGATGATAATGATACCAAGAGAAAAATAACTGTAATATTATAATGGTTATAATATAACATTAACGATGAAATAATAATTATGTTAATGTTTACAAAATTCCAACAGAAATGAAACAAAATAATGATTGCAACAATGTTAAAATAAAAGTCAGCACTAGCTTCAAAGGCACATATTGACATCATGATTGAATCAACATCAACAGCAGCCATGAAAATGATACAAGTTGGGTATCATCTCAGTTCACTTCATCCGTCAACTGTACGTTTCTATGTCAAAATGCTTACACTACAGGTTGAGTCATAAATATGGCTAAATGTTTCACTTTTCCCAGTTACTCAAAACAAATTCCTCTGAAGTAATCCATTGACTGCCAGTTAGTTTAAATAAAGGACTGCTTCTTCTTCTTCTTCTTCACAACCTCTTTTTTACCACTCTGGCTGTCGAGGGAGATAAAAGGTTCTGTTTTTTGTCTACCCCAACCATAGACACACATTGTGCTGCTGTAGAGTTTCCCTGATGTTGCCTTTCTATCTAGTTCTTGGTCTTTCTTGTGCTCTTCATCCCTCTCCTCTTCTGGTGTATGCCTTGTCTAGGAAGGCATCACAGGGCAATCTAAGTGGGCCAACCATTTGATTTGCTGTCTTTGTGTGTAATTTAGGATTGGGTCTGTGCCAACTTTTTTCTCTTATGACCTAATTCTTGATTGTACCTTTTCTAGTCACTCATACAGCCCCTCTCCAAAAATCTAATTTCCATGTACATAAGGATTTAACATCATATATCCAAGGTGATGTGCTCACAACACTCAGGTTCTGGAGCAGGACTGCAGTCGTCCAGAAGTGGATGAACAACCAGTACTTTCCGCCGGAGTTTACAGCTGGTGAATGCGAAGAAGAAGGAGATATATCCAAGGCCATATTTAGGCACATACAGTTGCACAGGGTGGCAATACTCTGGGGGTGAAAACATTTTGAGGGCAGCAAAATATGACTATTAGTTTGTATTTTTATGCTTTTATCATTATGAAACCTTCATTAGATTAGCGTTCTTGCGTTATAATAGTAAGGCTGAAGTTTGGCTGACAGAAGAGGGGACATAACTTAAATAACTTCTTATGAGCATCATATATCTTAAATATAACTCTTAACATAACCGATATGCATTATATGATGAACAGGGAGGTCTTACAATTTATTTTTTTATTTTTTAAAGTAAAATTATCTAATTTTATCAGTTTTAGAATTTGTATAGAATATACAATTCTATGTAAATGCTTTATAACTGTTAGTAAAATGCTCTGTAACTAAAATGTTAATTTCAACAAACAATTACATTTAACAAAATGTTAACTACGCCTGAAAATTAACTTTAACTGAAAGTAAACTTCAGTTAAATGGTTACTTCAACTAAAAGTTAACTACAAATTAATGTCAACTTCAGCTGAAAGTCAACTTTAACTAAAGTTACCCGAACAAAAAAAGGAACTTCAACTAAAAAGTTAGTTTTAACCAAAAGTAAACTTCAGCTAATAGCTGACCGACTTCAGCTACAAGTTAACTTCACCTAAATGTTGGCTTCAACTATACAACAGACAACAGAATACCTGCTTCTATACTCAGTTCCAAAGGTTGTGCACTTAAACTTTAACAAATATTTTGAAAACTTCTCTATGGATCTACACACATTTTTGCAGGTGGTCCTAAATTTCTCATGTCCTTATGATTTCATAATTGACAATTGCACAGGTGCTGTTATTTTCTTGCAGTGGCAAATTTCTTATAAACAGTAACTGACACAAATTGAGTACTTTTTATAAGCCAATCAACAAGTTTATGGCAGTATGTAATGTATCCACTTCACTATTCAAAATAAACATGCCGATTTCGCCTCAAGCCATTTACTGTAAACATGCTAATTGTACGCTTTGAATTTGTGTTTTGTTATATACTATGAATAAGTTTAAAAAAAACTAGATTCAACCATTTATACCCCGCAGTTACTGAGTTATAGATTTTTTTAAAGGTGGGTATGACTTTTGGAATGGACATAAAATCTAGAGATCTCTGTTGATGCATTTTTATTATAAAATATGCAGTTTTATCTCAATGTGTTCTAATTACAACTAAAATGCCCAGTGACTTTCTAAAAATTATAGGCAACTATCATTGACTGAAAAAAAGATTTTCTTCTCCAATTTTTAACCTTATTTAATATCACAGAGAATTCGAAAGTGGTGGATAATTGTTTCTGTCTAGGGCCCCCAAAAAAATGTAAATCATAAGCCGCACAGTTCATAGCGACTACACTAGCCTTGAACCACAAACCCCCAAACCCTAGACCACCCTCACCCCCCCCCCCCCCTTTTCCCCTGCGCGTCTATGCCATTATAAAAAATGTTCAGACAATTCATATTATTATTACCTCAGTAAAATCAAGATGGCAAAAGACTTTTTCTATCATAAAATGTATAATTTATATTATTATGAAATAATTAAAAAGCGAAATACTTTTCTGACCATTTTGGGTTGGCTAAGTACATAACGAATCACTATCATAGTAACATGTGAATGAACGTGTAAAATGCAATCTTAAGGTGTCCTGTAAACACTAAACTTCAAAAGCATTGGTGTGAATCCTAACGATTAACTCTACAGCAATCCAAAGATAATATCCAGCAACTGTCTACTGTTTCATTCTGCGGTTGATGTGGATCAGCCTTGACAACACTGAAAAGTCTGTCTGTTGTATGTATAATCCAACATATCACTTCTTCGCTGCAGCTTTCTCTGCTGCAATTTCTGAAAAATAAACAGTAAAGTGCAATATTACTTTCATTTTATAAATGAGGAACATCTGTGGATTCTACGGCCCCCATTTTGGGGAGAAATAGAATCGACCCAATACCCCCCGCCTCTCAACAAGCATGTAGTTAATGGCGGTTAATTAGGGGGGTTTCCTTCAAAGTAGGAGTGAATCTGCCCGAGAGCTGAGGAACCAACAGTCTGTATTCAAATCTGTAAAACAGATCTGCATGCAAAACTCAAAGTTCTGGAACAGACTAAAGCCCATAAGTGGACGAATTTTCCACTGGAATTTACAGCCGGGGAAAGTGAAGAAGGAAAATAATGATGAATATAGGATAAGTAAGTAAAGCAGACAACCAAGAAGGGGAGGCTTTTTTAAAAGAAGAATGATGACACAGTGGGGAGAAAGCCGAAAAGAGTCCTGATCGCAAGCATACACCCTTTCACCTAGGAATCAACAATTTAAACTAGCATCAACAGTTTTAAGATGGAGAAGATGGCACTGTTTCAGACATATCCTGAACAGAGAACATTGGACAACAAGATCCTGGCACTGATAAGAAAACAACCAGTCTTTACTTATTTTAGGATACTGAACACAAAAATGACACTAACATCTATTGACTGGCAATTTTTTTAAGGAGATTTTGAGATAGTCGTGTCTAAACTATTCAGCCTGTATATAGTAGGAATGTTTAGAATCATTATGAATCATTAGTAAAAAGCAACTCTCGGAGTGTGAACAAGTAATTTCATACCTATTGCTTAAATCCACTGGTTGGTAACCACAACGAAAAAGCACAAGTTTTAAACTTTCAAACAGACAACATTTATAGTGCTATTTTTTACATCTGGCCAGGTTTTTCTGTAGTATGCTCAGTCGAAATGTAAGCCAAACAATGCATATATTATGACATTAGAACACCATTGATCTTTCCAGTCATCAATCTGTTTTCTGATGCCTCTCTTCTCATCACATGCACCAAATAACACTGACTGCCTCTTTCTTACCTACAACTATAACAAAGAGGCCTCAGTGTTCTTCAGTCAAGTGATGAGAAAGAGATGCATTGGAGAATATTGTGAATTACTGGAAAGATCAACAGTAGAAAATGCAGATGCAGACCAAGAAAAATGATGCCTTGCAGCCTGAAACAATAGCATGAAAGAAAATTATCAGTGGAATTTCTTGAAAATACTGAGGACCAAGATCTGTGGAGAGACATAAATCCATAAGCTGCCTGGCAGGGCACATGATGATGATGATGAGGTCACTGTATGGGACACAGAGAGCTAAGGGTTTATTAAAATTAGATGTGTTTGGTTAAAAGACATAGATATTGCAGCTGTAAACCACAACATGATATGCCAACTGCCTTTTTGAGGGTGAATGCAGAAGATGAACATATATATATATTCTTTGTAAAACAGTCTATAGTTCTGAGGTGAAGAAAATTGGTCGTACAGTACCTTCTTTGGTTGGCAATAGGTTCTTCTCATCTGTCTTTGCTTTCTTTAGTTGACCCTTCTCAAATCCTGCAATATTATTTCGAAATTCTACCGCCTTCTTTTCTTGCTGGATTGCTAGGGATGTAGATATAAGCAGGTTAGCGTCAAAAGTTGAACTACAAATAAATTATGAAAAGATACCAATAATAGGTCAAGCAGATCTAACACTAGAGACAACAAGAATTAACGCAACGGGTCAATTTACTTATTTAGGTAGTAAAACTAAAGAATTAAAGTAACCGATCAATTTACTTATTTAGGTAGTAATACTCAAGAAGGTGGTTGCCATGGCGGAGTGGCTAGACGCTCGCCGCGGATCAGAAGTTCGTGGGTTCGCTCCCAGGCAGAGCCGGACTTTTTCAAAAATGACCTTGGCTCCCAGGTCGACCCAGCCATGAATGGGCACTGGGTGCAGTCCCAGGAAGTAAAGGCGGCCAGCATGATGTTGACCACATCACCCATCTTGTGCCAATTGGTCTATAAAAATATAGGTCTAGCCCTATACGCCCTATACGCCTAAAGGCATGGAAAAGGGTCCTTTACTTTTTACTTAATACTCAAGAATTAAAGTAACCGATCAATTTACTTTTTTAGGCAGTAATACTGATAGTCAAGTAAATACAAAGAATGTTATTTTGACACGCACTGGCAAAGCGTCAGCATCTTTCAAAACCTCTGACAAAATATCGAACTCTAAATTATATAGTTTTAGAACCAAGTTATGTATTCTCAGTTCTAATGTTACTTCCATTTTAGCATATGCCAGTGAAAGTTGAAGAATCCCTAAAGACATAGAATGAAAGTTAAATGCATTTGAAAACAGTTGCCCAAGGAAAATAATAAACATAAAATGGGATCACTTCAAGAGGAGTGAAGAAAATAAGGGAATGTCTGGGCAATCACTAGTATCAACTGTTATAAGACAGAGAAGAAGGCGCTTTACTGGAAATATTATGAGCAAAGACGAAGAGAGAATCACCAAACTGGTGCTAAAATGGGAAATAGGGGGAATTCAGAAAAAATGGGCATCCAATAGAAACTACAAGGGTAACACAGAAGAGAGAGGCCAAAAGTTGCTGAACATGATTCCATCCATAAAATTGAAGTGATTGCACATGAAAGAACGCAATGGAGAAATAGAATGCAAGCCCTTGTGACATGTATGGCACAGCTAGACAATAAATTAATTAATTAATTAAAGTTAGCAGTGGTATTAATAAAAGTTGTAGTTCTCACAAGAAATAGGAGGACCAGAAACAAACTGGGCAGAAGAGACATTCTGAGGAATTCAATAGAACTGATGTACACACAGAGATGACAGAATGTCTGATAAATTGAACAGAACTGATAAAAAGACAGGGCAGACATTATGATAAACTGAACAGAACTGATAAAAAGACAGGGCAGACATTAGGATAAACTGAACAGAACTGATTAAAAGACAGGGCAGACATTATGATAAACTGAACAGAACTGATAAAATGACAGGGCAGACATTATGATAAACTGAACAGAACTGATAAAAAGACAGGGCAGACATTGTGATAAACTGAACAGAACTGATAAAAAGACAGGGCAGACATTGTGATAAACTGAACAGAACTGATAAAATGACAGGGCAGACATTGTGATAAACTGAACAGAACTGATAAAATGACAGGGCAGACATTGTGATAAACTGAACAGAACTGATAAAAAGACAGGGCAGACATTGTGATAAACTGAACAGAACTAATAAAAAGACAGGGCAGACATTATGATAAACTGAACAGAACTGATAAAAAGACAGGGTAGACATTGTGATAAACTGAACAGAACTGATAAAATGACAGGGCAGACATTGTGATAAACTGAACAACTGATAAAATGACAGGGCAGACATTATGATAAACTGAACAGAACTGATAAAATGACAGGGCAGACATTATGATAAACTGAACAAAACTGATAAAAAGACAGGGCAGACATAAAAATAAACTGAACAGAACGGATACTCAGACAAAGAGGACAGACAGACAGACTAGACAGAGCAGACAGACTGGACAGGACAGACATACAATCAAACCTGGAATAGACACACAGACAGACAGAACAGACTCATAAACTGGACAGAACAGATAAATTACATAGAAGAGACATTCAGACAGACAAAACAGGACCTAACCACAAACAAAGCACGTACCTTCAGTTGGAGGAAGTGGGTTTTTCTCTAAAGTATCTGTGTGCTTTAGACTAGCTCGCTTGAAGGAACTGATAGATTTCTTCAGCTCTTCTTCTTTCTTCTCCCGGTTGATCTCTGAAATACAGATACCACAAAAATTCAAGAAAGTTAGTTGCATATTGTCACAGAAGTCAGCACAGGACCACTTATAAATTACATACAAAGACATCAAATCAAATGGTTTTTACCCTTAGAGAGAATACCTTGTGACATTATACCATACAAGGCATACACTTAAAAAGGGGAATGACCTATAGAATGAAGTAGACCAAGAACAAAATGGAAAGATAACGTCAGAGAAACTATACAACAGTATCCAGAAGTGAAGAAGGAGAAGTTGCATCACATACCAACACTATCATTCATATGCTGTTTATGCTTTTTCTTGGACAATTATTATGTTCGATAGTTTGCCATTGCTGCCTGAACCTGCATACCATTGTCAAAATCAATATGCTTCCAAGTCACATAAACAGTGGGAAGTGACAAGAAAACAAAAATTTTCAGAAGTAACAACAGAATAATTTTTTGAAAGATAGAGAAGACTGACAAGAAATTATAATCAGTCGGAAGTGACAAGAAAACATAGACAGTGGTAAGTGACAAGAAAACATAGACAGTGAAAAGTGACAAAAGAACAATTTTTAAAAAAAAAGCGAGAGAAGAGTGACAAGAAATTATAAACAGTGGAAAGTGACCAAAAAAAAAAACATAAACAGTGGGAAGTGACAAGAAAACATAAACATTTAAAAGTGACAAGAAAACATAAATAGTGGGAAGTGACAGTAGAACAATTTTGTTAAAAAGATGGAGAAAAGTAACAAGGGCTTATAAGCAGTGTGAAGTGACACAAGAACATAAAAAGTAGTACAAGAGAATATATAAAGTGGAAAGCAGCAAGAGAACGTAAAAAGTGGAAAGTGGTCTGCAAGATATATACACGGTGTCCAATCAGTTTCTATACATATGAAAAAAGGATCATATCACTGACGATATTACAAGCATAACTCTTGCTGTGCTTATACATGTTCTTCAGCTGTGAAAGGTATGCATCACATTTTTTCCAGCAATAGTTAACTCTTTTAACCCAAGACATGCAGGATGTGTCAACATTCTTACATTAAAACTCCAACTATCGCAAAATGTGTTTCTAGCTTTTCAGTTTGGTCATAGCATTCTACAGAACGTGTCATAAAAGACATCCCCTTGTGAGATGCAATTTTTAGAAATCAGAGTATACAGCAGGTTTGGGAGGACTAATAAAACAATAGGACAAGTGCTTCAATGCTGATGGAAATTATGTTAAAAAATAATGGGACAGTGTAAATGTAGAAATAAACCGTTTTCAAGTTGTTATCGTTTATAGTTTTTTAAACAACCATTTTTGACTTACTTATTGACTTCTCCTCGTTTAACAACTAAAACAACCGTAACAGCAATATAACTATACAAGTTTTTAGAATTATCGGAAACCTACCATCAGGGGTTGGTAAACGTGCCTTCTTTTCTGTTGTGGTCGGCTTTAGTTGTTCTTTGTTAAAGTTTCCGATCTTGTTCCTCAACTCAACTTGTGTCTTCTCCTCGTTGATCACTGCAATAATAATTAATAAATCATTAGGCTTCATCATTATCATTATCACCACTTTCATCGACATCCTTTTCATCATCATCATCATCACTTTATTGTCATCATCGCCATCATAACTTTCATCATTAACACTTTCACCATAATCATCATCATCATCACTTTATTATTATCATCGCCATCATAACTTTCATCATTATCACTTTCACCATAATCATCATCACTTTCATCATCACTTTCCTCAGCATCATCATCACCATCCTCACTTATATCCCCCCTGTCATCATCACTGTCGTCATCATCATCACTTTTATCATCATAATCCCTTTCATCATCATTATCATTACTTTCGTCAGCATCATTATCATCATCACTTTCTTCATCATCACTTTTATCATCATCATTTTCACCATCATAATCTATTTCATCATCATTATCATTACTTACATCATTGCCACCATCATCATTACTTTCATCATCGTCATCATCATCCTCCTCACCAGCATAATCATCAAGACAGAGCGCAAGGTGGAAAAAAAATAACACAAGAGAAATTCTACAGCTTCTTTACACATTTTCTACGAGGAGGGAGTATTAGTTAGTTGGGTTTTTTTTTTTTTCTAAGTGGCAGGAGTTGCAAAACAACTGAGCCCCTAAGTTATGGTCCCAGCAAACAACCCATACACAAGCTCGCCTAAACAGTGCAACATAACTCTCTTATGATGATGGATGCAGACTGTTTCTCTTATCACAATCAACATCTTCTGCGTAGCTAACGGTTTTCTATTTGTCATGCACCGCGCTACACTGGCCGCTGATTTAACTCACTGTTTGTTTTTGATCACTGCGATACATTTTAGAACAAGGCAGTTCAATCAATAATGAACATAAACACAGCTGTGTGTATGTCATTAATACGGCTCAAAATGGAAAAACAAGAAAAAACTGAATTAATAATGATTTATAGTTCTGGTGTTGTATTATTTATTTGAAGAAGAAGAATGAACAAAAGGTTTATTTCACATCCTGTGGCATATGAGTTGTGTTGATGACTGTGCATAAAGTGTCAGACCCATAGTTTTATAGACAAAACGGCACTCGGAGTATGGAAGAATAGATCGGGATATTAAATAAAAGATGCCAACGAGCCAGTGCACTTATATATCAACTGACACGTTTATTTAAGACATCCAAACATAAGTGTGAGCGCTAAGAAACAGATTACAAACAGCATATTCACACCAACACTGTGCTATCCATGCCAGACTTGAACATTATCAAAGGCTAACCTACGTAAAATTAACACCTGTGAAATGAGACGCCTGAAAAACGCCGCCAACTCAACGAAACTACGTTAGAAATCATATTATCAGACAGATTGTAGAAACAACACCATGCAGCAAATTCATTGAGAAACAGAAGATCAAATGGTTCGGTCATTTTGTAAGAATACAGCCAGAACAACTACCAATGCTTTCGTTACACGCGAAGAGATTTGAAGAGGCCGCCCTAGGAGAAAATGGATTGATGACATTAAAGAGCTTCTACATTGACAAGGAATGACAATATCCATTGCTGCCCATCAAGCAATGTTTTGCAAACCGTTCCTCCCCACAACGCTTAACGGCAGAAGTGGAAACTAATGATGATGATGAACCAGCCCTCGGTGATTGATGTGGTCAATATCACACCAGCCTGTTTTATTTCCCAGGACCAGGACCTGGTACCCATTTCGGTTGGAAGACAAATTCAAACCTTCAGTCCTGACAACTGAATCACTGTACATTTTCGAGGAGTCCCCTCGAAAATAGGTTACTGGAATGATTTCCATGTTGCATTGTGTGACATTTTAATATGCTTACAGAGTCCTGTGTTCTAAACGTATTCGTATTACAAATCTACAAGCGGATATTGTGAAGTGGATATACAGTAATTTAAATTTTAATTCACGGAAGATAGTCGTGTTGTGATGTGTGTGTCACTGTTTCTAGTCAGTAGTTTGGACTTTTAGGAACTGGCTGTTTATTCTTTTTCTACTTTGAATGTAGAAATCAAATTGTCCCATAAATTGTGTCAAGATATTTCGGAGCTCTAGGTAAGTGTATAAAACTATATTTTATTTACTAACTAAACTCTCACAGCAAGTCACTCTTTGCCTCTTAACTAACTATTGACTAACAGTTTAATTATATGTTGTAGAAGTACACTAATAATATTAATCCTTAACCATTTGACTGATGCTTCGTGGACACTGGCTGTAAACTCTTGCGGAAACTTCTGGTTGTTCATCCACTTCTTATGCATAGTTGCAGTTGTACGGTCTGTGTTAATTTTTGTAAATTTATATGTGTATGTTGCTCAGCAATTTGCAGTTAAATGGTCTTTTTTAATTTGCTTTAATTACCTCTAAAATAATATACCATTCATGATACTTATACCCGTTGTTGCATGCAGTAATTAGAAATATGTGTGATGTGTTTTTAAACAGTTACTAAAAAATTCGCAATGATAAGGAATTGATTTCTTCAACAAGATGAAACTGGACAAATTTGTTTGTGCTGTTTGTACCTTGAGGATACATATTTAGTAGTGCTATAAGTACTGTTAAGAAAACTACTCTGGGTGAAAAAAAGTATTGCACATATCAATTTCATACTGACTGTGCTTGTTTACTAATTATTAAATAACAGTATAATTATACTAATAATAATAATAACCATCAATCACTTATATTTATGTTATGTATGACATGTGTATGTTTCATAGCAGTATTTTTATGCACTAAATTTGGTAAAGTACAAAGGTCAGCCCCCCCCCCCCCCCCCCCCCCCCCCGGGCTCCTCAGATGCAACAATACCCTTTCAGAATCAAAGAGTTATCACTGATATTTCTTTACTTTTGCTGGAACAACTTTTAGTTTATATCTAAACGTTACTGATGTTTATGTTAATGTTGACTGTAGCACAAGCATTTTTGATTGTCTGTAAGAGCCTTTATTGTTACATTTAATTGGCACACTTATTTACCTTAAAAATGACGCATAGTTCTATAAAATATGTAAAAACCTAATGAAACTGTAGTTTAATTTGTGTATAGATCTCCTCGATAAAAACTGTTAACACAGAGGGACTCAATTCTTGCACAAGAACGGGAATCCCCGTTGACTTAGTTGGCCTATTTATATCAAGAGTTGGCCGTGGTCAAACTTAGAAAACCAAATCCGCCTCATTGCGGATTTGAAATCTTGACCTTCGGGCCAGCAGACGAGCCTATCCACTAGGTTACCGTGGCTTCCCGTTTTTTTTTTTTTTTTTTTAGTATCCAGAAGCCATGAGTTGTTAACCCTTTGGCTCGGTATTATGGATATCGCAACCCTTCGGCCTTGATTCCATTGTAAATACCGTAAATCTGGGAGAAATATGGCTTTTCTGCCTACCCCCGGGCGTGAACCCGGACCACAAGGAGTCACCCGGTCACCACGCAATCCGGTTCAGCCAACTACGCTAGCAAGCCGGGCTGGCTTTCCATCAGATCTATAGATTGCTTTATAAAGAATATATGTCTATTTTTTTTTTATTTTCTGCGTTCATCCTTAAAGAGACTGTTGCACGCCGTGTTCTGGTTTACAGGTCGGCCTTTAAGCATAAACAATTATTTTCAGCAAAACCATTATTAGTCGCCTTGTAACATCCACCTGCTTGTTAGCAGGCAGCTGGTCTCTGAACCCAGAAGGGAAGATTTGAGTTTAAAAAAAAACAACCAACAATTTGCCTACTGCAGAATGTTGAGGCATACCGGCTAGAGGCCCCTACTAACATCCTTCACATGCCTCTGTAGTTGAATGGTTCTTGTTGACTCAGCCGGATTGGTCGTGTTAGCAGGTGCAGCCACGTCGAACTTTAATCCGGGGGTGTCTGGTCTGGGTGACCTTTGGTCTGAATGCCAGGATCGTGAAATATCAGAGTGGGGTTGCTTTCTTACTCATTTTGCACACAGCGTTTAGCAGTTCATAGTGAGTTTTATTGGTTACTTGAATCTTAACACATAACTCATTGTATTCTCTGCAGCAATAATAAATCCACTGCCGGTTTGTTATTCCTGTCGCACTTTCACTATATCCCCGTTGGCCAACTGTAGATTCAGAAAATGACGCGATGATTGATATTGATCGCGCGCGCAACTGCTGATCTGTTGGCGACTTCTGCTACCGTCGATGATGAACTGCATTTCTGTTGTCAAACTGTTTGTGTTAGCAATTCTGATGGCTACCGTATGCTTTTAATGCGTGTGTATGCTAGTGCATATGCTGAGACAGCAGCCTGTCAATCTTTCCACAAGGGACTGCGACGAACATTTTGTGTGTTTTTCGTTGGCACAGGAGCGGAGCAACTATGGAGTGACTCGTTTGCTATGAAGCTGAAACTAAGATTATGAAGATTAGCCAGATTCCCCGTTGGCCAGAATGCCTCGGGATGACCCGGGTTGGCCTGGATGTGAAACATCTCATACAAACTATATTCATTTCAACCCTATGCTACCAGTGTCAAAAATGGTCAGTCGCAATAAACCATTACAGAAAATTAGTAACCATGGAAATAAGATGTCTGAGAACGGCTGCATGAGTGACCAGAAGAGATAAAAATCAGAAGAGACAAAAAGTATTAAAAAGTATTAAAAGGGGAGAAAGACGTGGAGAGCGACGCAGACCAACACAACATACGCTGTAAAAGAGCAAGTGAAAATGAAGATGCTTAATATGTTATTTACTTCGCATCTGCATCCTTATCCAATCCTTCCATTAGCTTTTCTTCTTATTTTGCGTTCGCTAGTAATAGAGCTGTTGGCAAATTGTATTGTTGTTTACATTTACATTGGGATATCTACGCCTTTCGACCCATACATCCATTTCAGTAACACCTTTAATTATTCGCCTTTTAAAACGTGCCTGTTGTTATCATTATTTAAATTTCAAGACATGCCGATCTTATTATCATTACTATTATTAT